AATACAGTTTAACCAAGTGTAAATGCTCACACTTGATCAAAAAAGACCCGGTAGCCCTGTGCTCTGCCTCTGGGCATAGCTTTATAGAGATGAGTAGTCAAGAGCAGTATGTTATATGGAGATGTCCATGCTTGTTTCTCCTTAATGCAACTGGTTTGGAATCTTTGAATCTCAGAAATATTAGAAAGAACACACTCAGGAGCTCTTATCTAGAAGTGGTTCTCAAAGTAAAGTGAAATACCTGGTCTTTAAGATGTTGAAGAACCATTCTAGGGAAAGATGGGGAAATATATCCAGGTGCTACTACCACCAACAAGAGAAGATATGGGTGCTTAGGAAGTGGCAGGAAAGGCTCGTGGAAACTGGTGCAACCAAGAGCTGCTGAGAGTTATAAATAGGAAGGACTCCACAGCAACAAGTTTTTTTGTTTTTTGTTTTGTTAGTTTTATTGCCTCTCAGGAGGACTAACAAGAGTTTTCTGGTTGCTATTCTAAAAAACACCAATGAGGGTTTAGTTGGGAAACGGGAAGAGGAGGAAATTTATAGCTAGGCAGTCTTCCCAAACTATTATCTGAGTCATGTTTACTATTTTAAACTCCTCTTTATTAAGTAAGGAGGGAGATACACAAATTTTTAGTTGAAGTCCTAGATAATTATTGAGTGTCTACAAAATAATTTTGCCAAATTTTTTTTTCCAGAATAAATATTGAGTTTATGGATAGGAGGAGTACATGTAATTACACAGAAAATATTTTTCCAATTTTAACTTTGCATGTGAATAAGTGATCCATATGATTTCAGTGCATAGTCAAAGAATGTCACTTCTATATCTGTGATTCTCTAATATGGGTGAAAAGAAAAAACATTTAGAAATAGGGGAAAATGAATATAGGATTCTCAGGGAAATGGAGGTGGTAGCACAATACTAAAACTGTGAAGAAAAGAATGTTGCATAAATAAATAAATAAAAATGCCTATGGTGTATTCAGCCATGATTATTCTATCAGTCTCTTCAACCATAGTGTTATTATCTTGTGGGCAGGAGTTATGTCTTATCATCCACCATCTGCTCCCATATTCCTTAATGCAGTTTCTGCACTTAGTTACTATTAGGGATTGAATTCTGTAGATTTCAAATGGTTAAAAATTATTTATTTTAGAGATCACTTTTTCCAGAAGAGTTTGTACACTTATTAGTAAACAAGGGCCAATACAGAAAGTATTAAGAAGATGAAAGGGCAAACCGAACAGATCATTCTATGAATTGTGATAGATAAGGCTTAACTAACAAAGTTCCAAATCCCATGTATATAAATTATGATCTTCTCACATAAAGGCCTTTGAAGATTTCTTTAAAAAGGAATAGAGGTAATATGGGTTACTACAGGTGACCTCTGGGACTTCCTGCCCTCCATGTGACACTATGAATCTAGTCTTATTCTTGGGACCTGTCTTCTAAGTAATCAAGTATTGGCAATAATCTCACTACTCGTGTATGTATGTTGCTGTCTCCAGACTCCTTCCTTACTGAATCTTCTCCCAGAATTATAAATCTTTGCTAATGCAAAATAGCCTTTTCTCAATGATTTTATTTAGAGCAACTTTGACATCCTTATTCCTCAGGCTGTAGATCAAGGGGTTCAGCATTGGTACAATAATGGTATAAAACACAGAAGACACGTTTCCCTGGTCCATGGAGCTGACATTTGCTGGCTGCAGGTACATGAATGTTAGAGAGCCATAGAAGATTGTCACAGCCAAGATATGGGAGCTGCATGTGCTGAAGGCTTTGGACCTGCCCTCAGTGGAGCGGATTTGCAAAATGCTGGCAATGATGGAGGCATAGGAGCCAAGAATCGCCAAGGTTGGTGCAATAATATTAACTGCACTGAGGCACAAAAGTACCAGCTCACTGATATAAGTGCTGGAGCAGGAGAGCTCCAGTAGTGGAAGAAGATCACAGAAGTAATGGTTGATTATTTTATCCTTACAGAAAACCACTCTTAGCATGCAACCTGTGTGAACTGTGGCACCAATCAAGCCCATCATATATACCTCAACTA